TTACATAAATATATATTTACATATTATAATGTGAAATATTGTTACATGATTGATGCATAGCTAAAATTCATCACTAAAACTGTTAAAAAGCATTTTGATGATATATATGATATATATGATTAAAAATGGTAAATAATTAGTGCTGTCAAACGATTAATCGCGATTAATCGCATCCAAAGTAAAAGTTTTTGTTTACATAATATATGTGTGTGTACTGTGTTTATATATTATGTATATATAAAGACACACATACTGTATATATTTTGTATTTACATATATATATTTATATTCATATCATTTATATTATATATAAATATATTTAATATATAAACGTAACATTTTTCTGAAATATATACATGCATGTGTGTATGTATTTATATATACATAATAAATATACACAGTACACAAACATATATTATGTAAACAAAAACCTTTATTTTGGATGTGATTAATCGTTTGACTCCACTATAAATAATACATGAATTAAGAATTACAGCAGCTAAAATAAAAACTTTCCCCATTTTTTCCATATATATTCATTCATACACATATTAACCAAAAAGAATGTCGATAAAAGCTCAATGAACATAGAAACCCCTTCAGATGTGGCTAAAACCCCAACAGACTAAGAAAACAACACAAGCATTCACAACCTTTATGTATTTTAATCATTTTTACAGTGTGAAATAGTTCTGGAACAAACTGAGTGGGACGTTCAGTTGAACATATTTATGAGAAAAACAAAATCATACATCATCATGAGTGATGAGAGAACAGAGAGAAAGAAACCAGAACAAGATGAACAGAAACAACGACGAGAAACCAGCGGATCAGAAGAGAAATGAACTGCTTGATCGCTTCATAATGAAGATTGAGACAAATATACAGTCACTTTATGATTCAAAACACAATCAAACAAGACATTTGCATATAAAAGCTGCAGCACTGAATCTCCGGCTGTAAACAAATAAATAAAACAATCCTTCGAAACTATTAGAAATGGCCAGACAATCGATCAAACATACGGCATAAAAGAGGTATTTGTGTTCTGAAACTTAAGAAATATTACTAAAAATATAGAATAATGTGACGTATTTGTATAAAACTCATTCAGATGGCAATTAATTCACTGCGAACTAGGTTTAATTACCGAACACGAAAATTTGCAACTTTTCTCCTTTTTTTTCCTCTATAAAAATAATATACAAATTTCCCATGTCAATCAATCACCGTCTGAATAAGTCGATAGGTTGTGGGTTTATTATGGTAGTTGATAAAATAAGAGCTAAAATGCTCTCAAGGTTTCGTTTGCAGAAACCGACTGCAACCTTAACGATAACGACGCATGAAGTCAAATTCTGAGTAACAATGATACAAAAAAAAACTCAGCGCTACATTAGACAAACAATGAAGTAGATAGTAACTTAGTGATTCAATCCTAATTAGCACCAAATCTCAGTGTTGATACCTGATGACGAGCAGTACAAACGTATCACTCGTTAACCCTCTTAATGCATTTTGACACGTAAAAACTTTTTTAAAAACGTAGTTTTTAGTAAGGGAATGAAACTTTGCAAATGCTTTAGGACCCTTAAAATACACATAATTTGGGGTTTTTTCCTGATTTTTTACAATTATCTTTTAAGAGATATAACACGTTTCGTGTTCGGGTCATTTTTGACCCGGGTATTTATGGAGCACCCCTAAGTGTCAAAAATACTTACCAATGAAATTATATTAGTGTCTGAAAACTTTTGTGAAATATATTTCACCTTTTCTCCATATCTCACATACTTCTGGGACTGAATTTTGTTGATAAACATGAATATGTACGTCTATTGGTAAAACACTGCAGCGTGAAAAATGTATCACTTTTTAAAACCAGGAAGTGAAAGTTTATGCAATTAAAATGAATTTATCTAATTTGAAAACATTTCAGAGTAATATTTAGGTTGTTTTGTTAGAAATAAATATGAAGGTTTCATAAATGTGGGCTGTTTTGGAGAAATCATGAGTTATGAATTAAAAGGAATTAAATTCCATTCACTTCAATGCAGTTAAAACTGTTAATATAATTCTCAGATTGCACGTTTTTATACATTTCATACAATGATATATTCATATATAACTTCTCATCAATATTGTAAAAAAAATATATAGTTATTTTGCATCATAGTTTTTTTGGTGTGGTTCATGCGTCATTTGACATTTCAAAGAATTTCTCGATTTTTAATTAATAAAACATTTGTAAAAGCAGTAATAACAGAAACATTTTTTTCATATTTACTCATTAATAAGAAGTCATTGATCAAACACAATATGGTTTTAGTTGAAAAATATTCAGTTTTATGAAATAAGATGTTGAATGCATTATGAGGGTTAGACGAGGCTGAAATCTTTGGTCGTTTGATTTTATTACATTTCTGCTTTATTACATTTTGCGAGTGCATTTTGAGACAAAGACTGAACGATGAGGTATTTCTTTCATTTGTCATTTATCAAGTTTTCCTTGAGTGTTTCAGTCCACGTCGAAGTGTCGCAATCGCTTGTCAAACTAACTAAAGTGTGGTTATTTATACTTGGATATGTTTATATCCTGCAGCCACGATTTCTGTTGAAAAACATAAAACTGCAGATCTTCCAAAAACTAATTTCACATCGTGATCAAAATAAAAACAAAGCACTAACAAAAATTATTTTCCTCTGTACAAGTCAACGTCACGAGCACCAGTTTGAAATATTAAATAATATAAGACGAATTGATGATTTTAAAAATACTCATTCTGTACAAAGATACAAATATAATATACAATAAGTGGCTGCTGGGTAATTGTCATAATAATAATAATTCAAATATTAAACTCTTATACACAAATATACACTTGTGTTTTTAGATTACAGCTCAAACGAGTACAAATAAAATTGCACGATTTATTTCTCTTTTTTTCAGACACGCTTCCTCTAATTCATAGAGCGTGCGAACATGTTTTTAATCACTGTTTTTAATCTGCTTAGGTGGCCCGAAGATTCACTGCAAAAAAATTTGTTTTTTTTCTTGTTTCCAGTACAAAATATTCTTAAATCAAGATGCATTTACTGGAGATATTCAGACTTGCTTTCTGCAAAATGCACCAAAATTAAGTGAATTTTCGCTTAAAACCAGAGGCGGACACTAGTGAAGTATTTTTACTCTGCTGTAAAAGTACTTTTCAAGTGTCAGTACTTTATCAGAGTGTTTTTCTTTAGAAAACTTTACTTCACAACATTCCAAGGCATAATATTGCACTTTTTTACTGCACCACATTTCATATTAAATATTATTTAATACTTAATTACATTAGAAATCTATTACTTTCTTTCTTTTACTCAAGTAAAAGTAATTCAAAGATTTACTTGTGTACAAGAAAGTACTACATTTTTAATGTTCTTAAGTATGAAAGGTAAAACAAACAACAACTTTTATTTATGAAATGTAGTGCAGTAAAAAGTAAGATATTGTGCTTTGGAATGTAGTGAAGTAAAAGTTTTCCAAAGAAAAACACTCTGATAAACTACAGATACTTTTAAATGTACTTGAGTAAAGTAAAAATACTTCACTACTGTCCGCCTCTGACTTAAAACAAGAACAAACACCTACCAATGGATTCAGGAAAGTATTTTATTTATTTTTATTTTTTTTTGTATTTATTTATTTTTAAAGCAAATTGGTTCAGAATGGGTTCAGAAAAATATATTTTTTATTTTTTAAATTTTAAAATGTTGGTTTTTAAATGTAGGTTTTTTTTTTAATGTGTATATTTATTTATTTACTACTTAATTTTAAGCAAAAACTGATTTCATTTTGATGCATTTTTTAGAAAACAAGACTTAATACCTAAAGTAATTTTGCGTTTCGTGTAAATGCATGTTGGTTTAAGAATATTTAGATATTTGCATTGGAAAACAAGACAAAATACTGAGGAGGAACATCATTTTGACTTTGATTCTAAACAAAATGGTAAACAGCTGCGGCCGGTTGCATAAAAGGTTTAGACTAGTCTTAAAAGTCAGTCATCTAATTTTGTTCTTTAAGACTGGTTGAGATTTTAAAAATTCGGTTACATAAAAACGTAGATTAGTCTACTGGTTAACTGCTAGTTTGTTCTTAAGAAACTGTCTTAAAGGGTTATTAGTTCACCCAAAAATGAAAATTCTGTCATTAATTACTCACCCTCATGTCGTTTCAAACCCGTAAGACCTTCGTTCATCTTCGGAACACAAATGAAGATATTTGTGATGGAATCTGAGAGCTGTCTGACCCTCCCATAGACAGCAATGCAACTGAAATGTTCCCAAGTGCAGAAACGTAGCAAGGAGATCTGTAAAATAATCCATGTGACATCAGGGGTTCATCCGCAATTATACGAAGCTCCGATCATACTTTTTGTGTGCAAAAGAAAGAAAAAAAATTACTTTATTCAACAATTCGTCTCCTCCACATCACCCTGCTGCCATTTTGGAGAATATCAGCTGGAAGTAAACAGCATACGCTGTTCTGTGTCAGCTGCGTCACACGGATACGCTGTTTCCATTCAGATCAAATCACAATATTCTCGTAGCTTCATAAAATTACGGTTGAACCCCTGATGTCACATTAATTATTTTACAGATCTCCTTGCTGCGTTTCTGGACTTGGGAACATTTCAGTTGTGTTCCTGTCTATGGGAGGGTCAGGCAGCTCTCAGATTCCATCAAAAATATCTTCATTTGTGTTCCGAAGATGAACGAAGGTCTTACGGGTTTGAAACGACATGAGGGTGAGTAATTAATGACAGAATTTTTGGGTGAACTTTCCCTTTAACATAGAGACTAAGTGAATGTAACCGGCTCCTGATCTTTGGTGTTTGTGAGAGAGGTCTGGGCGTGCTTTTAACTGAACGTGAACCCTGTTTGGGCGTGTCTTTGGGCGTCTGATGGACAGACAGACAGACAGACACACAGACAGCTGCTATCTATCGTACCGGCTTCCACGCTCGTCTGTGCCATGAAACAGCGGCGGCAGCGGCGGCGCAGGGCTGGCCGTTACACTGCTCCACATCGGCCGGTTTGTCCAGAGCGTCGCAGCTGTGCTCGTTTAACCTCTGACCGCTCGGACGCTGACAGACCACCAGACGCGTGCGCTGACCGCCGCCACACGAGCGTGAGCACTACAGGACAGAGAGAAAGAGACACTCCACCATCAGCACTTCAGCTTCTCAACTCATAAACCAGGCAGAAGAGACTCCAGTACAGTTTATCCTGTCGCTAAGCTAAAGGTGCAATACTCAAATACTCATCAAGAACATAAATAATGAGTTAAACAGTCATTTCATAATTAATTTATCTATATTTATGATACTCTTACTCAATGCTGATTGAATTTTATTTAATTTTTACAATCAATAATCCTCTTGTTGAACATTTTGGATTGTAAAATAATAAAATATTATTTATAATAATACATTTTATTATTATAATACAATTATAATTTATTAATTGATAATCAACAGAAATAATATTATTATTATTTCCACTCAAAATAATGAAAAATAAGTCTTCCTTTTAATGAATTAATCATATATAATATTTACAATCAGTATTGCTGTTGACTTATACTGAGCATTGTGGATTATATAAAAAATACAAAATTATTGTAATAATTAATACAAATAATAATTAAAATGCATTATTATGCAAATATTCTCAAAATGATATTGTTATTAAATAAATATAATTTATCAATATAATAAGAAATATGAAAACATAAATATAATCATATTTATTAATAGTCCTTATTGAAACTTGTTTCGGTACTGAATTACTGAAATGTAATATTTATAATCAATACTTTTCTTGAGTTGTTGAACACATTGTGGATTATAAAATAATACTCAATTATTTTAATAATTTTAAAAATAATATTTAAAATATATTATTACTATTATTACTTAAAATAATTATTTAAAACTAGTGCTGTCAAACAATTAATCGCATCCAAAATAAAAGTTTTTTTTTACATAATATATGAGTGTGTACTTTGTATATTTTTTATGTATATATAAATACACACACATGCATGTATGTATTTCAGAAAATATGTAATATTTATATAATAAATATATGTATTTATTTATAATTTAAATTATACGGATATAAATATAGACGTAAATACATGTATATATTTTCAAAATATATACTGTATGTGTGTGTATTTATATATACATAATAAATATACAAAGTACACACTCATATATTATGTCAACAAAAACTTTTATTTTGGATGCGATTAATCGTTTGACAGCACTAGTTAAAACATATTAAATAAATATAATAAATGTTAACAGAAATATTAATAGTCGACAGATTTGTTTTGGTAATGAATAAATAATATTATTAAATATTACTGAATTAAATAATATTATTTAATATTTATAATCAACGTGTCTCTTGACTCGTTAAACATTGTGGAATACAAAATAATACACAATTATTTTAATAATGAATAAAACTAAATTAATTAAAATAAATTATAATTGTATTATTACAAATACTATCATATAAACTAATTACGAATTATTTAAAAATAAACATAATATTATATGGATATTACAATGAATAATAATTATAATGATTCTATTAACTTTAAGTCATGTTCATTGTAATGTTAATGTAGTGTTAATTATGTTAACAATAAATGAGCACTCTCTGAATGCACAGGTAATGTGTGTCTGACCTGTCCCCAGACGCCGTAGTTCCAGTGTGGACAGGGTCCGGAGTCGCAGCTCTTGGATTGGTCGGGTTTGACTCTCTCGTCGCAGTGATTGGTGCTGCGTCCGTCTGCGTCCTGACAAACCACGACCCGCCGCTGGAAGCCGCCTTCACACGAGCTGGAGCACTGAGCTCAAACACAAGACACCAGCATCTACTGTCAAACCAAAAATTACTCAGACACCACATATCATTTTTGATATGTGACCCTGGACCACAAAACCAGTCATAAGGGTCAATTTTTTGAAATTGAGATTTATGCATCATCTGAAAGCTGATAAATAAGCTTTCCATTGATGTATGGTTTGTTAGGATAGGACAATATTTGGCCGAGATACAACTATTTTAAAATCTGGAATCTGAGGGTGCAAAAAAATCAAAATATTGAGAAAATCATCTTTAAAGTTGTTCAAATTAAGTTCTTAGCAATGCATATTACTAATCAAAAATTACGTTTTGATATATTTACGGTAGGAAATTTATTAAATATCTTCATGGAACATGATCTTTACTTAATATCCTAATGATTTTTGGCATAGAAGAAAAATCTATAATTTTGACCCATACAATGTATTGTTGGCTATTGCTACAAATATACCCCAGCGACTTAAGACTGCTTTTGTGCTGCAGGGTCACATTTTTTTCTAGCGGGTGCAGGACACTATAGTTCATTTATGTAAGTGAGGATAGCAAAATAAAGTGAACTGTGACATATTATACTTCATACAGTGGACTACCAGTAAAATCTGGGATCAAAAATGATTCAGACACTTTGACCTGAGCATGTTCTGCTGAAGTGTTTTTCTTTAATTGCTAATGCGAGCTTTTTACACCACAGACTGAAGAAAATGAAGCATTGCTTGGTGTTTAGTTGAGCTAAATTGGTATTATCTAATCGTGTGGCTGAATTTAACAGCTGACAGCTATTCAACCGAATTCATTCCATACCTTTCTATCAAAGTTATCTGATATTATCAAGATTAATTTGTTCTTATATTTTATTAGCATTTTCTAAACTGTAGTGAATAAACTGTGATAATGTGAGAAATGTTGAAGGTTTGACTGTATGTCAATTTCCCTTTGGGGATTAATAAAGTTTATTCAATCCTATATATTGCATAAAGAAAATGAAGCCTCATTATGCATAAAAAAATATTTTTATTTAATAAAAAAAGTCATAACTTAATATTTTCCCAATATATTGTATCTGATCAGCAACTTCTCATTAATGAGTGAATGTTTTTTTTTTTTTTTTTATGTTATTACTGCATTTACCTCTTTTGATTAATAAATAAAATGTAGATAATCTTTGAAATTTCAAATTACACATGAACACAAAAAACTATGATGCAAAATAACTATATATTTTTTACAATATTGATGAGAAATTGTATTTGAATATATTATTGTATAACATTTATAAAAATATATAATCTGAGAATTACCAATATTAATCCCTTTGGAATTAATGGAATTTAATTAAATTTAATTAAAGTGATGATTTTTTTATGCTGCAGTGGTTCATCAATAGATGCACATATTTATATTTATCAACAAAAATCAGTCCCAAAAGTGTTTTAGATATGTGAAAAAAGGCTAAATATATTTTACAACAGTTTTTAGACACTAATATAACTTAATAGATAAGTATTTTTGACACATAGGGGTGCTCCATACATACCCGGGTCAAAAATGACCCGAACACGAAATGTGTTATATCTCTTAAAAAATAACTGTCAAAAATCTGAAAAAAATGAATGATGTATATTTAGAGGGTCTTAACATATTTGCAAAGTTTCATTGCCTCACTAAAAACTATGCAGTTTTAAGACATTTTTATGTATTTAGTTTGGGTCAAAACAGACCCGAATGCATTATTTTTTTGCATTATGAAATTATTTCAATGCCAGTTCAACACATTTCACCTCTAATTCTCAGTACTGTAATATGAAAAACACATTGCATCAGTGATTGAGCAATATATTGTAATGAATCTGTATCTGTTGAGTCATTATCGTTCAGAGCCGTTAAAGGACTCATTTTCTCACATAGCTATCAGCGGGAGGTTGACGTCACATGACTTTCTATACGAGTTTGTGTTCCTCCGGCAAAACACGCCTCTTTACAGCCTGTATTACATGGCATTATCTTCCTACAATCCACAAACCACACTAATAAAGTCCAGTATGAAAGCCTCACACACTCTGGAACTCATCCAATCCCAGCATGCATCAGTGCTCGCAGCAGCGGATCAAAGCTAATGGGCACATGTGCTAATGAAGGAAATTGCAGTCAGATGACAGAGAGCATGAAATATGAAACGTTGGACTAAAGCAAACAGACTGTGATTGTGTAAGAGGATCCACACACGCATGTACTGCTCGCAAAACACACGTGAGACGGAGAACAAGCTCAGCGGACATTAATAATGATCATGCGCTCAATCTGTCAATGCAGTAATAAAATGGCATCATAATATGTAGATTTGATCTTAAGTAGATATTTTAGTCATGTCGTAATTTTAGGGATGCACTGATATTAAAATTCTGGCTGATACAATAAGCAGTTATGTTATGGCCAATATCTGATAAATAAATGATTTGCATATAAAAATATTTAACATGTATAAATAAATATATATATAGATATATAATTATATTTTTAATAATAATAAAAATACTACTACTACGAATAATAATAATAACAATAATATTTTTCCATTATAAATAAAGAAATTAAATATTAAAATTATTTTGTATATTAAAAATCTATACTATTTTGACTAAATAATTAATATTTATTAATAAATAAAACACCACACACACACACGCTTATTAATTAATAATATTAATATTTTTAACAAGAATTATTTTAATA